ATTATCGGATATATGCGTGTTTCCGAAATGACGACGGTAGCTGATTCACTACGGGGGGAGGGAAAAAAAAAGGGGAGGCTCGAATTTGTGTATGTACATATACGCGTTGGAGGAAAAGGAACCAATGGAAGATTTGAAAAATATTGCTCGCTTCAAGTTGGTTGCGTATGAATATACGTCTCTGATATTCACGTTAAAGCCGCGTTTCCATTGGAACAACTTTTTCGTCGATCGATTTCGAATTATTATTCGATTTCGTGTTTTATCGTCCAATATAAACATTTTTACAAGGCTTAGGCTAAGGAAAAATCGCCAATTCGTTTTATAAACGCTGCTCAAAATTCCAATAAAACAAGTGATTCAAGATGGATCAAATTTGCCTACTGTAAATACAGCTTTAGATGTATAACTTTGTGAACGACTTTGTGGTCCATCAAGTAGATTGCTCGGCCAATGTAAACGCAGCTTTAGCAAAGAAAAAGGGATCGTTCATCGTGTCTGTTCTCTTTCACCGTCTTTATCGTCGTTCTCTGTCTGCTCTCTGTCGTTTTTCTCTTCTTTCTCGTACGAATATTTGCATATTTCTTTGCATCTCTCTCTCTCTCTCTTTCTCTCTATATATATATATTCATATATCTATATATATACTCGTATATGTGTACATATATATATCTGTATTCGTATCTTTGTGTATCCATACATAATATATATAATTTTATTAATTTATACATAAATTTATATATATATATATATTTTACGTACATATACATATATGTTTGGTATCTATGGTATAAGATTCGTGTATCGCCTGTGTACGTGTATGTATGTATGCCTGTGCGTATGTCGTGCGTGCGTGCGTGCGTGTGTGTGTGTGTGTGTGCACGCCTCGTTGATCGTTCGATTCCCGTGCGTGATACCCCCTTGAAGATCTTCGTCGAGATCTCGCCATTTTCACCGATCCTCCGCTTCCTTGGTGATTCGCGCGAGAGATATCGACGCGTATTCGGAGAACATGCCGCAAANAAAAAAAAAAAAAAAAAAAAAAAAAAAAAAGAAAAAGAAAAAAAAGAAGAAAAAGTAAATAAATATAGCGAAAAATTTTTTTTTTTTTTTGAGCACCGTATCTCGCGATGCATGCGTTATCACACTCACACTACCGCTTGCTGTCTCACTTCCTAACACACACGGACACACAGCCAATACGCAACGACGCGGATCGTTGGCCGCCTGCATTAATCCACGCGCTGGACGTTTTGCGCGTATATACATGTATACCTCTACGGCTGAATGAAACACACCGTATCCCCGGCTTGCATGGTTCTCTACGGAATGCTAGGTGAGTTTCGCGATGCACCGTGAAAAATATATAGTCGGGGGGAGGAGATGGGGAAATCGTAGTTTATCGGACAGTTTGTTGTTACAGTCAGTTGTTACAGTCGAGTTGACGAAATTCGATGTGTTTTTTTTCTTTCTTTTTTTCTTTTTTTTTTTTTTTTTTTTTCATATATGATTCGTTATTGATTTCGTTCTGCACTTTCACTCCGCGGAGTTCGTTCGCTCACTCACGACGCAAACGCGTGCGTCGATATATTTTAGACGTCGATTTTGATCGAGAATTAAAAAAAAAAAAAAAAAAAGAAAAGAATCATCGTGATTTTGCGCTTTTGCTAATGAAAGTGCGTTATATAAATTCGTTATAGATGGCGCTTAAATTTCCTTTAAGGAGATTTGGTATACGTTCAAATAGCAAAGAATAAGCGCCATCTATGTCGAAGAATTTTCCATGCAACGAATCAATTAGATTGATTTAAATTTCTGATCACTGAGAATAATGCATTCACACGATTATGTTTCAATATTCAGTAGAAATTTTCAAATTTTAAGAACGTATTCCAATCAAGAATATTTCATATTCAGTAAGGCGACTCGTTGCCTGACCAATTGCGTACTTATTTCACTGCGAGCTATTTCAGGACGCTTGTAACGCTTACACTCTGAGTTCTGAGAATGTTATTTATTTTGATATTAAATTACGCATAGCGTTTTACTATATATATATATGTATATTGTTATTAAGGTAAATGTTAGAGAAAATTGTTAAGCATGCAAGCATGATTCACAATTGCTGAAATTGTAGCTAGGTATATATTATCGGATACCGATAAGTATGACAGTATTGGCTTGCAATTAGTTTACATGTCATAGTAGATGACTATTTTAATATTAAAATTACGCAAATGTTATAAATTTCAGTTAAAATGAAAACGTTATTATACATATTTAATTTCAGAAATTCGATATATTTTATCGGGAAAAGTATTCATCGTGTCGCTAGTTCAACATAAAATATCATTATTTATTTATTTTCTAAACTATTTTCTACGCGTAAAAAAATATTTATGGCAATATTTTTATTCGTATTTATATTTTATTACAATGCAAAATAAAAAAAAAAACTTCACAAATAAAACTTTACAAATAAATATATCACATCTACCGATAAAAAATTAATTTTAACCTATTATTGAATTTATTATTTATTTATACAAATTTAATTTCGTTTTCTCATTCGAATGAATAAATAATATTCATTGCTTCATTTCATATATAACGAGTTTATATATAAATTTCATAAATTTGTTTATATTGTTTTATTAAGTAAAATTAATCTTTACTATCCTATTATAATAATTAGAATACGTTCTTAAAAATTAACGATTCGATATTGAAACATAATATAAATATAATTTCAAAGCTGACACAATTCTGAAAAAAAAGTATCAGCCGGTTAAATTATCGTCTATAAATTATTTCTATTTCCATTTTTTTTTTTTATTCAATTTACTTTTTCTTTTTTTTTATTTTTTCTTCTCTATTTCTTCCTTTTCATTGCTCCGTCACTGTCACTTTCTCGTTCGCACGATCGGCGGTATAAATCGCCGTGAAATATTACCGAAGGTTCATCGGACTATATATTTTTCGAAAAACGGGGCGCATCGCAACGAAAAACGGAAGAGACAAACGGGCGGAAATAGTAGGTGATGCATGCGCAAGGAACTCCTCTAACACATGTGCGAATTAACCCGATTGATATGAACACCGAGAACTGGGATGCATCCGTGGAGGCATCCGTTATATACTCTACACCACACCACTACCACCACCACCACCACCCAACAACCAACACGACCCACCTCTTCCCCCTACCCCACCCCTTCTCAGGTTTTTTTTTGGTTCACGACCCCATCCTTCCGCCCCCCTTTCTCGAGATACACAGCCGTCCG